CGCTCGCAGCTCGACTGCTCGCAGCTCGCGGCGCGGGGCGCCTGTGCAAGTCCCCCTGCGACAACGAAAACACCGCACCTTTCATTCTCGACGGAAAATGACCGGCGCACAAGTGGCAACGGGGAAATTGCCATTTATGTAACGCCAAAAAGAGAAAAACTATTACGTGCTGCGGATAGAACTGCTCCGAGATCCGTGTGCTCCGAGATCCGTGTGCTCCGAGATCCGTGTCTTCACACCCATATTAAGTTGAATTACGAAGATGTATCTTTTCGCAAATAGATTTTATGCTAAAAAAACGTTTATTTCGTTTACAATGCTAGTGTGATCCTGGACGTCAGCCAGATTTTTTGGATATTCTTGCTCCACTTTTAATTGGGATAAGTGACAAAAATACTCGACAAGTAACTCTGCGGAACTCGCGGAGCGGAGAATGGGGCGATTTATTTTTCACCGGAATTCGGGCGCATTATTCCTGTTCAAGTACACGACAGCAACTGAGGACGATATTGAGCTTCTCTTCTTGTGTTTCCTCGTAACAATGGCAACGTCTAGGAACACAAGGCGTTAATATACATTGCAACACGCGTGATTGAGTGATATAAGATACACAATGACGCCAGTTCTCCAGATCACCCTGATATTAAATTTTGTGGTAGAACTTAAAGCAGAGCTGCATAAGCTGTGGCCCGAACTGAATGCTAACTAAAGGACTTGCTGGTACCCTTACGGCGGTATTCTATATCATGGATTCCTTCGAAAATAATATGCGAATCGAAGAATTCGAGGATTACCCGTGGCCAGAATGTTACAGTACATATGATTGGCTGTGGAGTATCTCGATCCCGTGGTTTGGTTTCTTAGACATACAGCCACTACACAGTTAGTAATCTATATGCCTGTAAATTCAGTGGTTAGGCGGAAGAGCAGGCCCTATGGCCGGAGCCTCGCCATTAATAAAGACATTATTATTATTATTATTATTATTATTATTATTATTATTATTATTATTATTACTTCATACGCGATATCCAATGTGATATTATATGGCTTCGTGCACTGTGTAATGGCTCCAGGGGCAATGAATCTAATATGTATATTTACGAAATTTATATTTACACAATTATTAACAAATTTGAGATTATTATCATATGCGAATTTACTGTCATTTCGAAAAAATGGAGACAGTAATACCATCTATATACGTTTCTTAGAACATTTTAAAATAAGAACTGGTCGGGTTGATCTGTCGAGTCAGTGCGTGTTCGGGCATGCTTTGTTACGGATGTTTATGAATTCTTTTGCTTTATATATTCAAGATGAACAATAAAATAACATTTATACGAAGAAATTAATAAAAACAAAAGTATTGGCTGTCTTTCGAGAGTTTTACAAATATTTCATTAATTTTTGATTTTACAAAAGTTTGTTACTTTGTGTTCTCGCGTAGGGCTACACTAAAAAACCGTTTCTGTGGGTTTAAGTGCTACTAATAAAATAATTTAATTCCATTGACGTTCAATACTATATAGAAAAATGAAATCTGATATGATGGAACATTCGAATTCATTATGATTCCAAAATCTATATATTTTTATTTAAAATATGATTTATGTGATTACTGGTTGCCGAGTTGAATTTCTGAACTTGAGATTGTAACACATTTAAGGGCTGTTGCATGAGGGAAGTAATTACAACCAATTTTTTTTCGTTTTCCACTTTGGATTTTTCTATCTTCTTATAATTTCATTATGAAGCTTTTAACAACCAAACCAACCTTTAAATCACTTTTAGGGTGCAGAATTTATTTCTTCATTTATTATTTTTTTTAATACTACAAAACAACAACAAAAATCATATCTTTAGGAATCGTCCATATTGCTTAACGGAGTAACTAAGGGCAAGCCAGTGCAATTCGCGAATTACACGTCGAAATTGGAGATATAGCCCACAGCATGCTTTCGGGGTGTGTAACTCCTGAATCGCAACCGATCCGGCCTCGTGAAAAAGGATTTTTGCTTTGATTCGCGAACTAGACGATAATTCTCGTCTTCCATGATACTGAGAATACGGGCGGTAGGGTATTAGAAATCCCTAGATTTCGAAACGTCGTTGAATTGCTGCTAGGTTGAATGCGTGACGTAATTGTGGCCCTTCCAGTTATGGCTATTCGAAACACACTAATCGGTAGATTTTGTGCGTGGTGTTGATGTACAGACAGCCACCATTAGCCGAACGGTACTTTATCAATCGTACAGGAATGAATTTCTGCGTTTTCCCCGCAATTATTTTGCTCTCCCAATCCCAGGTTGAACCACGACGAACATTTGAATATATCTGAAATCCATTCCTCAGATTTCCAGGAATGTTCTTGGATTCCTTTGACATCCAGACCTCAATTCACTCATATCATAGCTTGAACTTACCATACAGCCTACAGCGCACCGCCGAAGTAGCAGCCTGACGACGCTCATGTAGTGGCCGCCTTCCGCCACCAGGAGCGCGCGCACACCTAGCTCCA